CCAGATGCAGTGGAAGCAACAAACCCGTAACAGGAAAGCATTTGCCACTAAGATATCCACATAATTTCCATTCCTGAACTGCCAGTTAGCTTGATGGCTGTACAGAAAAGGATGAGGGCTACCTATCAGCTGATGCAGACATCCACTGAAGGACGGCCAGGCTAGCCATGGCAACAATTTTCTCCAAGTTCTGCTGTTGGTCTAGCAAGATGGCACCTGGCTTCTGACTGCCACAGGTCTACAAGCGTTGTTTCTGCTCACTCCGCAGGCTATTGAGAGGAGTACTAAGCAAGTCCCTGTGAGCAGATCAGCGCTGGAAAACCATGTCTGTACTAGCCTTCATTCCCATGAATGTTCAGATTGTACACCCCTCTAGAAAGGGACCAAACCTGCACTTAGACTTGGACAATTTGAGCCGTGTTCCTCACCTACTGACAAAACAGTACTTTGTATATGAAAGGTCCCAGACTGAATTTCCAGCATTTTCAATTAAGAGGAAACTAGCTTGCTGAGTTAGACAATACTGGACTATCTAGACTGTTATCAGTGTCATATGGAACCACCACACACACACACACGCAAACATGAACATTTGGTCCTTCTTTTACTCTCCTTGCAGAGTCAAACCACCCATTGGCTTCATTCACACTACAAGGTCCCTGAAGCAAGCAAAGAATTCCATTCATTACTCAACCACTCCACAGCTTTTTCCAAGGCAGAGCTGTGGATTTGGTTCACACAACAAATGCTGGGAATTAACAGTCCAACATCCTCAGAGGGCAACAGGTTGGAGAAGGCTGAATTATTTGATGCAGTTCCTATTTGTGTTTAGTTTGACTTAATTTACTTTGTCTAGAGAGCAAGCCTGACAGGTGAGTAATAAACAGCTACTGTAATGAGAAATATCACTGCATCACGCCAGACTTTCCTCCCTTCCTCTTGCAGGAATCCTGGGCAAGCAGCCTGCCCGGAAAGATGCAGGGGCAGAGCTTGATGGGTTAAAGGAAGTGCTTTCCACCATCAGTCTTTGAGGACCAGCATCCATCTCAGATGCTTTAGTCACAACATTTATTACACTACAACAAAGTCTTCCAGATGCCACAAGAGTCTTTGTACAGCAAACACAAGTGCGCGCACACTGGTACTCCCTCAAGAATTTCTTTCCATAGAAGGTACTTCTTAGAGCAAAAGATTTACCTCTCCTCCCAACGGCTCCACTGTAGATGCCTGTATTTCCTGGGACAATGGAAAAAATGTTTAATCTGCCAAGTCCCTTGGAAGGATATAAATATCACAAGAGGGCAAGTGCAGGACACCAGGAATGTGTTCTTTGGACAATAAACTTTTTAGAGGCCCCTTTGTTTCGGATACCTACTTGAACCAGAGCCGATCATATATTGGGGTTGTATCATATATGGATTATGGTTGTATCATATATATACACAACTGTGCCAGACAAGATTTTGATGCTCACGCTTGCTTTATTGGTTACTAACACTTGCTACTATTAACAGCAGTAATGCTATAATATGCACTGAAAGCACAGCCATCCTGCCTTGTACCGGTTGCCGTGGGCTTCCTTTTAACTAGAGCAGTGCCACCATGCCTGTGTCGTGAGATGGGGCAGCCTCACACTTCTCACCTGGGGTACCACAGTCTCAGGACGCAAATGGAGCGGAAGAGGCCTACTTTGTAGCCAAGGATCTCAGAGGCACCACGGGGAAACACCTACAGCACAGCCTTTCCCAGAAGGGCACTTTCCACCTGTCGGCTCCAACTCCCACCAAGCCCAACCAGAGTGGCTAGACATAACGGGAGTTGTAATCCAACCCTTCTGAAAGACACCATTTAAAGACTGTCCCAGCTTGCTGGACATCATCATCCATTCTCCTCTTCCCAGAATAATCCATGCATCTCTCTGGGGTTGCCTGGTACTCTCTAGATGGGTTGAACTACATTTGTGACACAGCTGGCTTGGGATAAAGGGAGCTGTACTCTGACACATCTGGAGCACAGTAGGTTGGAGATTGCTGATCCAGGGCGACCAGAGTTTCTGAAGCCTGAATGAATACCAAGGACATCAGTACTTCAAGGTTATCTCGAGGCTCAGGGAACAGAGGGCACCCCCAGTGCTTAAGGGCAATAAAATGCTCGCATACTTGGCTGTTAGTCCATTAGTTATCAAGAACTGCCTCATCATGGCATCGCACCCTCCTCTTTTGGGTCTGCACAGCCAGGGAGCAGGCAGAGGCAATTAATGACACAGAATCTCTGTGGGGGGGGGGGGAAGGAGAGAGAAGATGGCTGCATTGATTTTAAAATGGTCGTGTGGCACAGCCCTTTTCACCAGCTCTCTCCCTGAGCCATTCTGGGGGTCTGTGTATTGGCAAACTGTGTCTTTTCTTATGCGCAGCCACATATCAAGCTCCTTTCTTCCCATAAACCTACAATCATTATATTAAAAGGCTTTCTTGATGATAAAGGAAGCCATTTAGAGACAGCTAACACAACTGAAGTAATCAGTCTATTCACTGGATTACATTTGTATTCCAGATTAACCAAGTAATATCTCACAGTTTAAGCATGCATGTTTAAAAGGATTCCCCTAAACACTTTCTCCCAAGTTGTGGAAGATCTTTCTCATATGCGCCAGTCTATTTTAATCTCTTTGAATTTCTATACTTGAGATCCCTTCTGGATGATTAGATGATATTTGGATGATTAGTGGCAGATATGAGGAGTTATGAAACAGAAAACAGTAAGCCATCTCCTGCTATTAATGGTGTATTCAGAGAGAACGAGTCATTCTTAAACTATGCTAGGGCACTGAAATTTAAGCAGAAGACTTAACCATTTTCTTTACCTTCCCCCAAAAACACAAAACCCAACTTTTAGTCTCATGATTCTCAGCCAAGGCAGAGGAGATGGGCTAATTTATGTCTTTCCTTTTTACTGGAATCCCTGTGGCCCACAGAGTTTGATTCGTAAAGCAAAAAAGTGCACACAGGAACTCGCAGCAGTTAAAATGTAACTAATTTTAAAGATTACTGAGCATTACTGTGCACTGAGGGTAACATACGAAGAGCCTCCTTGGATCAAAGTCAAGCCATTTTTTGTTAGACTCCCAGCCACCAGCATGAACTAAGGTATGTCACTAGAAACTGGCCCGCCATCCACTGGGATCGCCTTTTATGGCGCGCCCACCCATCTCGCTGCACCCAGAAGAATCCATTCCATTATCACCATGAAGCAACCACAATCAGAAATGCACACAATGCATTCATGTAGCAAAGGACCTTTCTTTGCAAGATCCAGGACCTGTCACTTGGTCAAAGCGGCTCACCTGCAATGGAGATAGTGCAAAGCTTCAGGGCATCTATCCATTTTGAAAGTATCTCAAGAGCTTCAACCACTCTGCTGTAAAATATAATCAAAGTTACTCTCGGGACCTAAACAAACACCTTGGAGGCTAGCAGGCAGCTTAGCAATGGCCAGCTGAACTGCAGATACAGTGGAAAGATTTCATCCACCTGTAAATCCAAGGCGCAGAAGGCATCAACCATATACCTTGCATAGTACCCACAGCAAATTGGTCCAGAAGACCTCCAAGACCTTTGCACTGGTGCAGCTAACAGACAAGCTTCCAATTCACTCATAAAATTAAATGTACAATGATGCTCTTAGTTTACCCAGTCTATCAGAGAATACCATCCATTAATATTCCATTCTGTATATCTGGAATTAAGACTGGCATGGCCGCCATTCTGCACCAACAAAACTACACGGCTATTTTTCAGGGAGCTGGGAGGACGACAAGCAATTGGCTGGGACCCAGGGGGAATTGAGGTTTCTCAGCATTTCAAGAGCCACAGACGCAAAACGGAGGCAACTCACTTTAATAAGCTTGGTTGGTTTTCATTGATGTTACAGCCATTTCTTTTATACTGAATATTTAAGGGACAATACCACAAAAGGGAAGGCAAATGTCGCACGACCATGAGATCTTTGGTGGCCATTCAAGGACACATAGCTCTCTTTCAAGAAGGTGGAGGTGCAGAAGGGGGAAAATGCATGAGGCACTTGATAGAAAAAAGCGTGCAACTCAGTCTGCTTTCTGGCACTTGCACAGAACCGAATCATGTTAAATTTCACGGCTGCAGTCTAAGAGCTGAGCTTCTGGTGTACTCACATGCCTGCCTCTTGAGCCTGACAACACAGAAAGGACCCAAGCATCAGCCGAATCTCAAGAACAGCCAGGAAAGGAAAAGGAAGCCAAGCAGCCCTTCCAAGCAGCCCCAGCCCTCTAAGCTGCCAAGCTCTAAACCAACAAAGGCTCTCATGCACTGCTGCACGGTCTTCCAAGGATCATCACAGGATACTTATGAGCAGGAAACATGGTTCTTTGGCACCAAAAGTCGCTTGCTGTCTACATCTGCGCTCCTCGTGAGTAGCCAAGGAGAAGCGCAAAAAGGCAGTCACAGAGAACACATTTTAAGAAGTCCTCTTTGAGGGTCAAGCCATCCTTCGGCAATAGCAGCTACCAGACGCACACGTCCTCTCCAAGAAGAGGAAGAGTAACAGATGAGCCCACATTTCGGACCCTCAAGGCAAACCAAGTCGCAAAACAACCAACCGAACAAAACCAACCAAAAGGCCGAGGAACACTTTGGTGCACGTTGCCGGAGCACGAAAGCCAGCAAGAGGAATCTACCTTGGCAGAGGAAGCGCCAGAGAGAGGGGGAGACTCCTCAGGATAAGCCGGCGAAGAGCCCGGCGGGCTTCTCCGCGACCCGGCAGCCCACGCGGAAAGGCCCACCAGCCAGGACGGGGCGGCAGGAGGCGGACGGGACGCGCCGCACGCACGGGGCCGGCTCCCCCGCCAGCGCCGCCACTGGGCGCCCCGCGGAGCCCCGAGCGCAAGAGGGGCGCCCGGGAGCCCGCCCGGCGAGCCGCCCGCGGGGAGCGCGGGGCAGAGCCCCCCTCCCGCCGCGGCCGCCTACCTCTTCCTCGAGGCTGTTGCTGCTGTGCTCGCTGTCCTTGGGCAGGTTGCTCATGGTGGGCGCGGGAAGGCGGCGGGGGGGGCGCGTGCCGTCCGGGCGCTGCCTCGCCGATGCTCCTCTCGTCCCCGCCTTCCTCGCGCTCCTCTTCCTCGCGGGGCAGAGGGGCGGCGGCGGCGTCTGCGCGGCGGGCGTGGGGCGTGCGGTGGGGCGGGCGTGGGGCAGGTGCCGGGCGGCGGGGCGGGCGCCGGCGTGCGCTGGTGCTGTGCAGGTGGGCGCGGGCGCGGCGGCTTATCTGCGCGCCGGGCTCCCTTGCAGCTGGCGGGCGCCGCCGGCCAATGAGCGGCCGAGGGGCCAACGAGCTGCAGCTGCTGCCGGGCCGCTCCGTCCCTCACGCGCCCGCGGGGAGCCCGCCCGGCGGGGAGGGGGCGGGGCGGGGCGGACGGCGGCCCCGCCCTGCCGCATCACCGTCGCCAGGGGAACTCGCCGGCCAATGGCGCCGCCGCGAACTTTCCCCGTGCCTCGACGGGCGCGCCCCCCCCGCCCGCGCCCTCCTCCGCGGAACTTTTTAAACTTTGATGAACTCGCCTGATTGAACTTTCTTAAAGGGCTCTCGCTAATTTCCCCCCTTTCTTGCTTTCCCTTTTTTTATCGGCTCCTCAAGCGCCAGCCTCGGGGGAAGAGCCCCACGGGCAGAGGGGCAGTTCATCTGATTTTCAGAGTCTTTCAAGACAACAGTGTACACGGTTTTTAATTTGTTTGAAAAATGGGGGGGGCGGGGAAAAATTAGTGGCGGTAGCCCCCCCCCCCCATGCCACTTCCACGCCGCCCCAAGCCCAAGGAAAGGGCCGGCGGGGCAGCGAGGGAGGCGCGGACGGTCGTTGCTCGCGCGCGAGGATCCGGCGGCAGAGACCGGCGGGGCCCCCGGGATCCGGCCAGCGGCGTTCGCTCTTGGCCGGCGGCAGCCCCGTTCCTGGTGGAGGGGGCGCGTTTGAGCCCCCTGACCGCCCCGCCACGCGGAGACCTCCCCGCGAGAGAGCTGGGCGGCGAGGGTGGCCTGCGGACGCCCCTTCCCCCAAGCCCCGGGGAAGGCACGCTTCTCCCACACGTTGTCGCCAGCGGAACGGGGCAAAGGGGAGGCTGTCGCCTTGAGCAACGCTCCCGGGAAAGTCGAGGGCGCGATTCTACGGGCGCCCAGCTAGGGAATGCTGGAATCTTATTTTTCTCAACGTGCAAAGAATTACACCTTGCTAAAAACGAATAAATAACACGGCTTGCTTCCCAGAACGCATGTTCAGGATCGGGTGCAAATATTAGCGGCCTTTCTCTTCCGGGCGGGATGAAGTTTCACCTCTTGCCATTTAATCTGGCCCGCCGATCATTTTTGCTAGTGGCTTCGGGGCTCCCGCAGCATCGCGGGAGCTGGCCGGGCTGTGCCGTCCTCCAGAGAGTGAAAAAGGGGATTCCGCTCTGGGGGGTGCAGGGATGGGTGAGGGGTCAGGCGCCCCCTCCCATAATGCTCCTGTTCAGCAATCCAACGTCCTGCTATTTAGTTAGGATTACTCGGAAGTAGTCGCCAGTCGATTTCACCTGGAAATCTCGCCCAGGAAAGTCTGTTTCAATAGGATCGCAGCCCCTTTGCTTTTGCTGCGTCGGTTCCACCAAGAGCAGCTGAACGGCGCGGGGCGATGTCTGTGAGCCCCAGAAGCCGCTGGAGTGCGGGAATGGGGCCGGGCGGGAGGCGATCTGGGCCAGTATGAAAATGCGACGAATTAGACGTCGTGTGGAAGAGGCGGCAGGAAATCCTCAGATGCCCTAAACGTGTCTACGATTCGCCTCTCCACGGGTCGTCGCTTGGACGGCAGCGAATCCAACAGGGTCAAATGGCACAGCTATTCCTGGACTGTGACATTTCACCCTGTAGGGGTGGACAAGCGCGGACATCCGAAAACTTCTCTACGAAAACAGACGAACTACTAGCAACTTATCTTCCCGTAGAAAATATGGCAGCTAGCAAACCTTACCCGCCCCCGCCCCCGCCCCCCGGCTTGCTAATATTCCTCGGCGCGTGAAAGATTCCGTTCTTCTCGCGACAGTGTCTTTGCATATGCTGCGCATCTTCCCCGCTCAGCCCGGTAGCTTCGTCCAGGAGGGACTCCACGTGGAGTCTGCATTTTGCATGTTCGGGGGATTATTCCCTCGATGCACACGCCCTTTGTTTAATGCTGCTGCCAGAGGTTCTTGGTGGAAAGGGAGGGGCGCACCGCTGCATGCTCCGAGGTACTCTCGTTTTGCAAGGTACCGCGGCCAAGCACGAACGAAAACCTCGCAATTACAAAAACCAGATTCCAGAGTTTTGTGCACTGAAAGAGCAATTATTGGGAGGGACAAAATCGGAAATTAAAAATTTGGATTTTTTAATGTAAAAAATTGCACTTCCTTGTATAATAACTGATGCGATTGAGTGGTAGGATCGAAACTGGTTTAACGGTTGCCAAAAAGTTGCCTGCTCTGCTGTGAGCCACCCGGGCAGCATGCAGGCAAAACAGACAAATAAATGAGGAACCCTCCACGCCAATTGGGAGGGTACGGTACTGCACGATCCATGTGCCTCCCCCTTGTCAGGGAAAATTTTCAGATTCCATTTTTTGTAGGTGAGAAAACTTAAATATCTAAATATTTGCTTTAAAAAGGAAATGTGCAGGCTGCTGAAATTCGTTGCAAAGTCACCCTGGCATGAGCCCCAGTGCATTCAGTGGGACTCACTTCTGAATAAGGATGTATAAGATTGTGCTACATAATATGGACAGAACGATTTCAGTTTTTTTCATCTCTAAAGGGTTGGGGAGAATAAAAGACTTCTGACAGATTTCCTTATTCTACAGAATTTCTGACTGCAAATTAACCGACCACAGTGAAGGCATCCATAAGCAAAAAACAAAAGAAAAAATAGAGTATCGGCTGGGTGCAGAGACATCAAAATGCATTTTGGGGTGGAGGAGACCTTTTCCCACAGGTTAGTTTTCTGAGAAAATACATATTAATGGATGCCTGGGGGTAAGCTATTTTAATTCCCCCCCCCCAGTCCTTCTGAAGTCTTTCTCTTTGGAACTACTGTTAAGATTCTGTGCAGAGTTGACAAGAAAAGCAGCTATGCCCAAGATGCAAAGTCCTCTTTTTTGACTGCGCTGCATGCCTTCTCTGGCTTTTTTCAGTGCAGAGGTGGTCCAGATTTGGGGGGGGGGGCAAAATCCAGGGCCTTGCAGCCTGCAAAGGGGAGGGGGGCACAGGGTCCCCTAGAAAGAAGCAAATGAAGAGGGCGTCAGGGAAGCGGAATCCTAGACATGTTTAGAAAGAAAAACACCCCATAACTCCCAGTATTCCTCAGCCAGTAGGACCACTTGCAGAATGCCAGGAGCTGGACTTTCGTCAGTCTAAACATGTATAGGATGGTGCTCTGAAACTAGAATCTAAAATTACCTAGCTGGACCTCTGGAAGGGGCTTTCTGTCCACAGCCCTTAGTATCATCTCATTCTCGATGTACAGTTAGCTGACTGGTAGGTTCTCAGACTAGTACGAAGCATTAATAACCTCCCTTCCTCACATTCTACATTGTTCATATCATGATGCATCCAGTGGCGAGTCGTTCCACAGCTGAGAAGAGCACTGTGTGTGTGGAAAGCACTTTGCTTCTTTGACTCTGTGGCTGCTTGCTGCCTCAGAGTTTTCCTTTGATCCAAGTATTATCAATGATCCAAATGTATCAATAAGTTCCACATTTTCAGATGATACAAGAGGATTCTGGGATGGAAAGTGCCTGAGCCGGTTTCACCCCTTCCCCCCTTGCAGAAGATTGCAGGGCCCAAGAGAATGTGGGACTTGGGGGCCGAAGCAGTGGCCGCTGCGCTCTCTCAAGGGGAGCCTCGCTTCAGGTGACTTTTGCCTCACGGGCGGGCGATGCAGTCGAACATACAAGCTGCACGGAGGAGAACGCAGGACACAGACAGAGGCAAGCGGCCTCCTCCGCTGCAGCGCGCGGTGTGCTCGTCTGCATGCACAGATGTAGTCCTTCCAGCGACTCCCACAGGGACACTTAAGTGTGAATGTGCACATGAACCTCAGCTGCTGTGTCTGCACAGGCACATTTATTCTTTTTAAAAGTTACTTGATATTCATTCCTAACTTCTCATTCCTGTCGTTCCAGCTTTAGTTGTGCTAAGCTTTTGCTGTTGGTTGGTTTTCTGTAGGCATCCTAAATGGGCAGCTCCAGGAATAGCTTTTTAAAATATAAAACTCCAAGGAGCAAACCACACTGTGAGCCACATCCTCTGACAAGGAATTCTTTCCCCACCCCCAGATGCAGAGAGGAGGTGCTGCGAAGCCGGGAAATGGCATAGTGCATGTCGGTGCTCCCAAGCCAAGACGGTCGGCTGTCTGGAGGGGCATCCAAGTCCTGCTAGGATTTTGCTGCACCTCAATTTCAAATTCCTGCCTTCACCCATCCCCTCCTGACAAGGCCACCGGTTGATGCCACTCTGCAGCATGGAAGCCAATCCTGCTTCGTAACTTCAAAAAGACTTTCTCAATATTAATTCAGATCTTCCCAAGTCCTAGTTCCCCTGTGCTCAGCACTGGTTCAGCATCATCTGGGGTGCTGTGTCCAGTTTTGGACACCACAGTTTAAGACAGACGCAGAGAAGCTGGTCAGGGTTCGGGGAGGGCAACAAGAATGATCCGGGGCCTGGCAACACAGCCCTGTGCTGAGAGAGATCAAAAGAACTGGGAATATTTAGACTCAGAGACTGAGACTGAGGGGGGATCTGATAGCACTCTTCGGGTACTTGAAAGGCTGTCGAAGAGGGGAAGGGCAGGATCAGAGCAGCATGGCAATGGAACAAATTATCCAGGGAGGTCGGGGGCTGTCCCACACTGGAGGCTTTCGAGATGCAGCAGGGCGGCCACCTGGGAGGGACGCTTTAACCGGGAGTCCTGAGGCTCTGAGCAGGGGGTTGGACCCAAAGGCGCCTGGCCCCTCCCCACTCATCTCTTCTATGATTCCACAGGTGGAAAAAGCACCAGGGTGAAGGCTGAGTTGGGCACCCATACTCCCACAGAAGGGGCTAAAAGCACACACACCTTATACTTCATGTAATGCAACTCCTTCACCCATCTGCTCCCTTCCGGATGCTCTGGACTGCCCTCTGACACAATACTGCCCTGGGCTGATGGGAAATGCAGTCCAAAACACTCTGGGAAGACACTTCAGGCTGCATTTGGGATGTCATACAAGTTAATGTTCCTCTGCACATCC